TCCCCTCTCCTCACTTAAGTGGTCTAGGCTAGCCTTGAACTTGCAGTGATCCTCCTGCCTCAGCCCCTCCCAGGTGATGGAATTATAGTCAGGAGCCACCACACCCACTTCACATTTTTTCTAGACAGGCTTACTGTATAGTCTGTGCTGCCCTTGAACTCTCTAGCCAGGGCTGCCCTGGACTCACAGTGATCCTTCCGCCTCAGCCTCCTTAGCACTGGGAAACTTTTGAAAAAATACCTGGAACCATTTTTCCAAAACAGTTTTACATAAAGCCCTGATGTATAAAATATGGAAACTAGATTTTCTTTCTTTGCATTGAAGGAAGAAGTGAAGTCAGGTCCCGTTTTCTTACCCATAAAGCAGCTTTGCAGATGGAACCCGAGGAGACTGAAGGCATAGAAATTGAAAGCAGCAGCTCTGGAGCCAGGCTGCCTGGCTTTGAATCCCCCTCTGCTGTTCTGCACTGTGGGACATCGGCAAGTACTTGGCCTCTCTGAGCCAGGCCTTTCCTCGGCTGCTAAGTGGGGGTCAAAACTTCATGTATTTGAAGTAGCTGTTGTTAGAGATACATAAAATGCCGTGTATCGAGCACTTAGTAGCATCATGCCTCGTATACGGCAAAGCCTCGGGAAACCTGAGGTGGTTTGAGACCAGCATTAGCAGCTACAGCTGTGTCTGAAAAGTAGCTGTGACTCTTAGGAGATGTCCATGCAGGACTGAAACACACAGGCACACTAAGGAAGCACTATAGCGTGTGGACCGATAGTAGCAGATTGGAGAGAGCAGAGCCCCGAGGGGCGGCGTGCTCAGAGTGTGCATGCTCCGGTCATGATTGTAGAGCAGGGCTGGGAGAGACAGGGAGGAGATGGGCATTGCCCAGGCACACACACTCAGGGGGCACCAAGAGGTGCCTGGAGAAGGTGAGCAGAACAACCTGCCTGTGGGGCGCAAGCTGCCCAGGACAGGTTGTGGGAGGCCTGGAATCCATGCAGAGGAAGTTGGAATTTGTATAGATCGTGAGCCACTGTATCTTTGTGAGTAAGGACACGGGTAAAATCTAGTGGTCTCCAAGGAGCCTACGTCTGTCGGGTTGGTCAGAGGGTGGCCGGTGGTGTGGAACCATTCTTGAGTCTTTCGATGTGCTGGGCTTCAGTGCAGGCAGGGCCTTGGGAAACTGCATGGAGGAGCTGTGTCCAGAAGACATCTTGAAGGAAGAGTGTAAAGGCTTCGTCACTGGTAAAAAGCCCTTTTGCAGCTTAACATGGTGACGATGTCTTCCTGAGTTTTATACACTGTTTCTAAGTTGCATCAGAATTAAGTTGCATCAAGTTGATTGTGTTTGTTGTGCATGTGTTGATTCATAGGTTCCTGCCGTGTGCCGGGCAGATGCCGCTGCACACAGAGTGGTGTGGTCTCTCTGTCAGAGCTTATAGTATGGTGGGCGAGAGACAGGTTCGCAGGCGTTTAGATAAACCACACTTGGGAACACTACACAGAATGCTACGAAAACAAAAAGAAGGGCTCCCAACCCAAGCAGAGAAACAAATGTCAAAGATGAACTATAAATGGTGGGTAGGAGTTCCACCCCTACTACAGGGGTCAAGGAGTACGCAGGTGGGGGCAGTGTCATCCCGTGTAGCTGAGAACAGGGAGCAAGGATGAGGGCTGGAAGATGGAGCAGGACAGATGTCACAGCAAGAGGGGCTCTGTGAGTCTAGGAAAGAGTTGAAGCTCTACCCTCTGGCTGGGGAATGGCTCAAGGCGCTGGACAGGTAGGTGCAGGTGGTGGTCAAGGCTAGACAGTGAATTACTTTTGGACATACTGAGTGGAGGGACCCTGTAGACAACCAAGTACAGGTTCCATGTACTAGTATGTTGGCAGTGCATACTTTCTCACAAAGCATATTTTTTATTGTGGGTATCATGTATTCCTATCCATCCTTCATATGGTGCTGTTCCTTCAGGATGACCCTTCTACCCTGGGGTGTCTCACCTGGGTTTGATCTTCATTTACCAATTGTGTTTGTATTTTCTCTGGGAGAGTCCTTGGTGAAATCACTTGGAGCTCATTTGGGTGGGTGGCCATGAACTGGAGGGGAGTCTGGGCTGGTCGCCTGGATTGTCCCTGCCTCGGGAGTGTCACAGGCATCTGGCTCATCCCCTAGCACCCACCTGTGCTGTTTTCATGTAGGCTCTCCCCATGCACACAGGCTGTGGGCCTCATGGTAACCGTTGCCTGTCCTTTCTTTCAGCGGGTGCCAAAGCCTTCGTCTGTGACCAGTGTGGTGCGCAGTTCTCGAAGGAGGATGCCCTGGAGACGCACAGGCAGACCCACACTGGTGAGTGCCTTTGGTTCCTTTTTTCCCACATCTTCCCCACACGACAGTACATGGATGTGCAGTTCCTGTCAGCATTCTGTGCTTAGCAGACCTGACACCCAGTCCTTTGGTTGCTGTGCACAGGATGGGCTTCTGTCACGCAATCGTGACTCTTGCCTGTGGGGACAGGAATTTGCAAATGTAACTGTGCCCCATAAGAACAGCCGTCCTGGGTCGGGCCAAGAGCTCCTACTGCAACAGCCCCGAGATCCTGTCTTCACTGAAGCAACTTCTACCATCTTGTGGAGGCCTGAGGAAGCCCAACAGGTGGTCAGGAAGCCTCTTGTACCCCCTTGATGGAATATTGAAACTGTCACGTGACCACAATACCCTGGTTCTCCCTTTGTGAGGGGTGAGCCATCCTTTAACAGGCATGATCTGAATGAAGTATATATTTGAACAGTAACTGTCAGCTAGCAGTAGTATAGCTTCACCTGATTCCAAAGCATTGATTTCTCCACCTCCACATCATCTCATTGTGATTATTGTCTTCATCTGGGTAGCTTGCACTTTGTGTTTCCCGCAGAGCCTGGCACTGTTCTCCCTGCTCTACACGATCCCAAGTGGCCAGTCTGTGACTCACCCTGAGAGGTGGGAAGCTGCTCCTGTGCCATGAGTGAGGAAGGGGAGGCTCAGGAGGAAAGGGACATGGTGAGGACAGATGTGGCGCAACCTGGACTTCAGAGCTCAGACAGCCTGCACATAACCCTCATTCTGCTTTGTCCCATTTGTGGACGTAAGAACAGTGGTGAAGCTACCTGAGCTTATTTTGGATTTCCTCTATTCTTCAAAAGGAGAACAATATTAGTATCTTATTTCCTAGGGCTGTTGTAGGAGTTAACCAGAATATTTTATCTGAACTGCTTTGTGTGGGAGCCAGGGAGATAGCTCAGCAGAATAAGTGCTTGCCTGGCAAGTGCAAGGTCCTGAGTTCAATCCCCGGTTCTACCAAAAAACCAAAACCAAAAAAAGAAGTGCTTTGTGGAGTGATTCGCTCACAGTAAGCACTCAGTAAATAGAAGTAACTATATTTAATAAATATTTATTGAGTTTCTACAATGTGCCTGATGGTGTTCGGACATGTAAGATACAGTAACAGATGAGACAGGCAGCATTCCTGACCTTCTGGGGCTGAGATTCTAACTGGGAGAAAGTATGGGCCAACGGGTACATGATAGGGGTCGTAATAAGCACAGTAGGAAAGAGAAAGTATTGCTTGCCTCCCTGCCTTTTCTTTCTCTCCTTTCCCTCAGCCCAGTTGTTCCTTCCCTTTGAACAGTTTATTTTCCTTTCACGATGTCTGTTGTATCTTTCAGATTTCATTTGCTCTTTCTTACACTAGTGAGACAATAGATGTTTACACTTATGTGTCTGATTTACTTCACTCATGAGTATGGTCTCTACTTGCATCCTTTTACCTATAAAAGCCTCAAGTATATCTTTTTTTTAAGTTTATCTTTTCTTTATAGCTGAGTAATACTCCATTGTATAAAAATACCACATCTTTTTTATTGATTCCTCAGTTGATGGGCATTTGGGTTGTTGCCAAGATTTAGCTATGACAAGTTGTGTTGCTGTCAACATCTGAACAACCTTTTTTTTTTTTTTTTTTTTTTTTTTTTTTTTTTTGTTTTGATGGAACCAGGGATTGAACTCAGTCTCTTGTGCTTGCCAGGCAAGCGTTTATTCTATTGAGCCATCTCCCCAGGCCTCTAAATAACCATTTGAAGATAACAATATAACAACTGTTGCTGAATTTTTTTTGTTCAATGAGACTTTGTATGGGGTGGGGTGGGGAGATAGCTCAGTAGAGTAAGCACTTCCCTGGCAAGTGCATTGACCTGAGTTCAATCCCTGCTTTCGCCAATTAAAAAGAAAAGAAAAGAAAAGAAAGAATCTTGTATGGTTTCTAATTTTCTTTTTACTATTTTTTATTCTCTTTTTTTTATTTTTACTTTTTATGTATTTGGTAGAGAGCCTTATTACACAGCTTGGACTTGTAGTGGTCCTCGTGTTTTCAGCCTCTCCAGCGCTGGAATTACAGGTGTGTGCCACCATGCCTGATGTTGGTGGCCGGCTCATTGTGCCTGGAGGTGGGGCTGGTGTGGCATGTGATGCAGGGGCTTGCACTCTGGTTTCTGGGCCCTTAGTCTGCTGAGCTATCTCGCCAGCCCTTATTTTTTGTTCTCCTTTAAAAATTAAAAAAAAAAGGGCTGGGGTGATGGCTCAGTGGAATAAGCGCTCCTCTGGCAAGTGCAAGGGTCTGAGTTCAATCCCCGGTTCTGGAAAAAAAAAAAAAAAAGATAAAACAGACTGAAGCATAGAAAATACTAGAAAAGTGATATTCTAGATAAAACAGGCAGGAAAGCAGGGCTCTTTGAGGAGGTGACATCTGAGCAGGAAGGTGAGGGGCTTGCTGGGGCCTGCCTCAGTGGATGGAACCAGCTCATGCAGAAGCCCTGAGGCCAGGTGGAGTCCACCATGTTCAAGGAGAAGCACAGCAGCACTCGGCGTGGTGGCAGAAGAGGGTAAGGTCTCGTGGTCACTGAACGTTCGGAAGGAATCTGGGGTTTATTCTGCATGTGGTAGGAGTCTATTACAGGGAAAGAAGATAGTTGCAAGTTACACGCTGAGATAAGAAACCTGCGGTAAGAAAATATGAGGTCTTACAATTCAGAAATTAAAAATATAACCAGGTTAGGGACCGGCCAAAGGATGTGCCTAGACAGGGCTGCAAGGATAGGCGAATGGCCATTGAGCACAAGGCAGATGCGTCTACCGCTAGCTGTCAGGGAGGTGGACAGCAACGCCATGGTGAGAACCACTTCGCACACCAGGATGTGGCCGTAATAAATGACACAGAGAGTAGCGGGGTGGTGGAGTGTGTAGAAAAAGGAGGGGCCTCACACGCTGCTGCTGGGAATGTGAACTGGCACGGCCACTTTGGAGAACAGATTGGCAGTTTCTGAAAAGGTTAAACGTAGAGTTGCCGTACGACCCAGCAGTTCCACTCCTGCCTGCCTACTGGAAGGGATGGAAGCAGCACAGAAGTGTGTTTGTGAATGTGGGCAGCAGCACTGTCAGAATAGGCAAGAATAGAAACAGTCCAGGTCCTTGAGCTTATGAATAGACCAGCAGAATGTGGCAAGTCCACGCCAGTGAGTAGATTTCGCCTGTAAAAAGAAATGAAGCACTAGTACGTGTGACAGTATGGTTGAATCTTAAAAATGCTCTATGAAGGAAGCCGGATGCAAAGGCCACGTGTTCTGTGGTTTGCATTTATACAAAATGTCCAAAATAGGCAACTCTATGCAGACCCAAAGTAAATTAGTAGGTGCAAGAGGCCGAGGGTATTGGAGGTGAATGGAGAGTGACTGCTAATAGATACATTCCTTTTTAGGAGGGTAAAACCAATCTGAAATTATTTGGGGTAATGGTTCCACAACTTGGAATATATTATTTGTGAAACAGTACACTTCAAAGCTTGAGTTGTATATTTTATGGTATGTGTATTGTGCTGTAGTAAAGTTTTATGTGTATATGTGGAGATTATAGGTGATATAGATACAGAACTAAGCTTTTGCATGTGCCAGGAAGGGTAACTAGTGTCACACATGCCACTATATATACACAAACATATATATATACACACACTGTATATGTGCATGTGTGTATGTACACAGCCTTACTCATAGATACATAAATATTTGTTTATATATCAAGATATGCATAAACATTTACAGAAAAGGTGAAGGTTCATTGGAGCGTTCTTAGTTATTTTTCCCATGATAGGGATGATCCCAGAGCCTTGTGCACATCAGCTGTGTGCTCTACTACCGAGCTCTGCCCAGCCCCTTTGAGGGTTTCCAACGAGAGGGTGACATGGCTTGATTTATGTGTTTAAAGGAGAACTCTGGCACCTGCATGGAGAACTGGCCATGGGGAGTGTTTCATCTATCAGCTGCTGTGGAACCGACCACCCCAAGGGCAGCTTAGAACAATAAAGTGTTATCATCGCTGACAGTTCTATGGGTTGATTGGACCTGGCCGGGTGGTTTCACTCTGGGTCTCATGACTGCCATCAGGTGGTGGCTGGGGCTAGAGTCCTCGAAGAGTTCCCTGGTCTGGAAGTCGGTGATAGCTTCTCCACTCCAGATACCCGACTCAGCCCTCTCCACGTGGTTTCTCTGCAGCAGTAGCAGGGATTTGTTCTTACCTGACAGCTCAGGAATCCGGGAGTCGGGGGGATGCAGACCCTGCCAGACTCTTAGCCTCTGGGAGAAGAGCCGTGGAAACAGGCGGCTTCACTTCTGTATTTTACTGATCCACCTTGTGACACGTCAGCACAGACTTAAGGTAGCGAAGCTCAAGCTTCCCATCTCAGCAGAGGGAGGGGCAAGGATGTAGAGGGGAAGAGGAATTAACAACAGCTGTCTTGGCGACAGGCTACCGCAGTGTCTGGAGTAGAGTAAGGAGGACCAGCGGACAAGAGTATTTATAGGTTCTGGTCCTTCTGCCTTACATAGTCTGGAGTAGAAACCATCATGCTTAAAGTGGGTATCACAGGCTTTGGTTTGGGGGCTGTCATCAGTGTGCCACCCGGGACCTGCTCAGTGATGACAGAGTAATCTGAGCTTCAGCAAGGGTGGGGAATGGAAGAAAAGGGGTCCAGCTCAGGGATGCAAGGCCCAGGTGCGGCCTGAGGAAGGCTTCCGGCTGCCTGTGTGTGGGTGAGGGTGAGCTGCTTCCGCAGCAGAGCACAGCAGCCGCTTGCTAGCGTGGGAAAGGCTCAGCACCTGGGCGGTACAGTAGCACCTCAGCCTCCTCGTAGGGTTGGCCACGAGATGGCCGGAGTGACATCAGTGTCTTCCTGATACCTAGCTGCGGTCCTCTGTCACTCCTAGCTCCTAGCACTGCTTCCTGCTGATTCCAAATGGATCCACAGCCTCCTCTAATAAGCA